TTGTCCGCCGCCAACGGAGCCCGACGGCGGGGCAAGGCAGGAGGGTACGGCAGCCGCGGGACCGCTCCCGCCAACCGAAGCTCCGCCTCCACCTCCGCCACCTGCATCATCGCCTCCGCTGGCTCCCGCCGCGCCGCGGCGCACGGCAAGGACGGTGCTCGCCGGCAATGTGGCGGAATGGCTGGCGGCGGTAGTCCAGGGATGGCGCGCTGCCGCCGCCGGGCTGGCGGAGCTCGTGCAGACCGGCCGCCGCCGCAGCAGCAGCCGCCGTCTTCAGCCGTCGGATACCGCCGATCTGCTACAGCTTGAGTCGGCCCTCGTGAGGGCGTGTGAGCTGCATCTGCTGTTGTATCGGGAGAGGGAGGAGCTGGAGAGGCTCCGAGGGGAGCTGCGGGAGGGACTGGAGGCGGCGTCGCGTGTGGCGGCGGAGGCGGCGGAGGCGGCGTCGCGGGCGGAGGCGGCGGCGGCGGCGGTCCAGAGGGCGGCGGCGGAGCAGGTGATGCAAATGGATATGGGGTTTGTGGTCGTGGCCGTGTCGGTGAGGAGCTGTGGATAGTGGAGGGCGGTTAGTTTAGTTGTTGGTTGGTGGAGGGAGGAGCACTGGGAGAGGGAGGGAGTGCGGCAATGAGTCAGTCTGCGGCGGCGGGTCACATTGTGTGTGTATGTATGTATGTATGTATGTATGTATGTATGTGTATATATGTATGTGTATGTGCGTAAGAGGCCCCTTCCTTTTTTTGTTTTTATTATGTTTTTTTATTATTTCTTCCCTGATTGCTCTCACCCCGTTACGCCTTTACTTCCTGTTATGCATTCGTTCATTGCGTCATCATTCCTTCATCCGGTACGACACTTCGCTTGTTTTTCCTTTCTTGAGCGTTTCCATTTCCTTTATTTTCCCTTTTCAGTCAAAATTTCAAATCAGCCAGCCAGCTACTATTTTTCCTCAGCAGCATTCGCATGTCTCCTTGTCCTTTATCGCACCCGGCTCACCTCTTTGCTACCCTTTTGTTTTTGCATGTGCCTTTTGCCACTTCTTCTGCGGCCTGGCCAGGTGAGTCCAAAGGGTGGTTCGAGCTTTGTCGGTATATCGCGTTGGCGTCGGTAGGCTAGCCGGAATAGAATAGTCGGGTCGGTCGGGTCGGTCGCGCGTTTTAGTTTTTTTGGGGGGGTTGGGAGGAGCACTTGCATACCGACAGCCTTTCAGCATCAGCAAATCAGCCTTTTTCTCCAGGCCAGCAACTTTACGCCACCTTTACGACAGCACTATTTTACTCGCCGCCTTCACTACTACTTTTCTACACCTACTTTACGGATTGGCTATACTATTCAGCTTTTTATTTCTGGCGGCTTAGGTAGGTAGGATTTCCGACATCAACGTCACTTCGTCATTCCGAGGTCACAGTCGTCACAGTCGCCACGGACGCCTTTCGGTCAGTTTTTACGTTTGCTACTCTCTTGCCCTGGCAGCAGCTTCAATCGTGTGTGGTTCGTCTTTCCCCCCTACCGCCCCCTAGTCCTAGTCGGCTCCGCGCCGCCTCTCTCACTCCCATTCCGCCGTTTTCCATCCCCCGGTGTGACGTGTTGTGTTTTCCCCCGGGGGGGGGGCAGGCGCGTGGCGATTCGCTCCAGGGGCAGTTGCTGTTGGTGCGGGACGAGCTGAAAGCGGTGGAGGAGCGCCGTATCAGCCTGGTGCGCTCCAGGGGGCCCGTGCGGTGCGGGTGCGGGTGCGGGTGCGGGTGGGGGTGCGGGTGCGGCGCCGTGGCAGTTTTTATGTGTTCTTGTTTTGTGTTTTGTGTTTTGTGTTTTGTGTTTTGCGTTTTGCGTGTTTTGTGTGTTTTGTGTGTTTTGTGTGTTTTGTGTGTTTTTTGTGTTTTGTGTTTTTTGTGTTTTGTGTTTTGTGTTTTGTGTTTTGTGTTTTGTGTTTTGTGTTTTGTGTTTTGTGTTTTGTGTTTTGTGTTTTGTGTTTTGTGTTTTGTGTTTTGTGTTTTGTGTTTTGTGTTTTGTGTTTTGTGTTTTGTGTTTTGTGTTTTGTGTTTTGTGTTTTGTGTTTTGTGTTTTGTGTTTTGTGTTTTGTGTTTTGTGTTTTGTGTTTTGTGTTTTGTGTTTTGTGTTTTGTGTTTTGTGTTTTGTGTTTTGTGTTTTGTGTTTTGTGTTTTGTGTTTTGTGTGTTTTGTGTGTTTTGTGTGTTGTGTTTTGTGTGTTTTGTGTGTTGTGTGTTTTGTGTTTTGTGTGTATGTAGGTGCCTTGGGGGGATCGAAGGGCCCGAGAGATGTGAGGATGCGGGGGGTTGCGGCCCAAGCGGTTTGTCTTGTTATCAGGTCCGCGTCAACCGCCCGCTTCTGAATGAAGTACATGCCATACATGCCGTACATGCCGTACATGCCGTACGTGCCGTACATGCCGTACATGCCATACACGAACGGAGCGCCAGGAGAACGACAAGCTCTCTTTGGAGCTGCAACTGGAGGCGGCGACAGCACTTCAGGGGCAACAGCACACGTGCCGCCCGCCGCTGCCGCCGCCGCCGCCGCCGCCGCCGCAGCAGCAGCAGCAGCAGCGGCGGCGAGATCCGGCCGAGTGGTGTCCCTCGCTGCGTGCTCCTGGCCGCCGGCCGCCAAGGAGTGCCGTAGCGCCTCCGGGCTTACAATGTACGACAGGAACCCATGTGGGAGTACTGCCCAGGTCACTGACGTCGCCGCCGCCGCCGCCACGGTCGCCATCACGGTTGCTGAGCCGCCCAGCGCTGGGGCGGCGGCGGTGTCGGCGGCGGCATCACGATGAGGTCGAGGTCAACGGTACGAACTTGAACCGGGCTGAGGCGGTGGCGGCGTTGTGGCGGCAACCGCCGCTGCCGACGACGACGGCGACGGCGACGGCGACGGCGACTACTCCGTTTCAGCCGCCAGCTCGCCCGCGACAAAGTCGTGGGGTTCACCAGGGAGCTTTATCGCCAGCGGCGGCGGCGGTGGCGACGGTGGCGGCTGCTCGTCCACTGGGGCCGGCTCCGCCACCTCCGCCGCCTCCGCCGCTCGTCCCGGGGGTGGGGGACTTCGAGGTGGGGCTCGGCCCAACGGACATTCGAGTGCAGATGCGCCACGTCAGCCAGCTCGCGTACGACATGGTACGACAGGGGACGCGTGTTTGTTTGTCGTGAAATCCGCATTGTTGCTGTTGCGCTCCTGCTCAGCCCACTTGCCGCCCTTCCGAAACCAAATCTTCGGTCGCAACGTTGCACATTTATGTGTTTTGCACGACATCAGTACCTGTGTGTCCGTGTATGTGTTCAACAGCACCGTAGTCTGTCATTGCACACAGCGTTCTGGTGATACACATAAACACACATAGCGCAAAGAACTATGATGCGTGAGCTGTACGGATGGTTAAGGAGCTCCGGATTCAGGATCCATGGATCCGAGGTTTCGAATTAGGCAGTACGGCAGTACGGCACCATGGATTCTAATACAATAGATTCACGAGTTGACATTCCTTCTATTCTCCCTGGTGTACCTTGGGGCGGGGCGGGGCGGGGCGGGGTGGGGGGTGGGCGGTGGTGGGGATCTTTTCAGAGCCGGGAGCTACTACTGCCGTTGCCGTTGCCGCCGCTGCGGAAGACCACCGAGGCGGCGGCGGAGGAGGAGGAGGAACATCGGAAGGAAGGAAAAGGGAAATCAGAAGAAGAAGAAGAAGAAGAAGAAGAAGAAGAAGAAGACGACGGCCTGCTGGTGTCGACGACGGCGACGGCAACTGGGGGAGAGCCGGGGGGTGGCGGCGGTGGCGGTGGCGGTGGCGGCGGCGGCAACTCGAGTTGCTTTGCGGCAGGTCTTCGGAGGCGGCTGTGCTGGCCCCTGCGGCATTTGGCGCCGCCGCCGCCGCCATCACCGCTACAGCCGCAGCTGCAACAGCCGCTACCCGGGGACCTGGAGGCCCGTCTCCTGGCCCACTCCCTGTTGCATTGGCTGAGTCAGGAAGTGTGGCGCGACCCGACCCAGTGGCTGGGGGGGCTGAGGGTAAAGCCGCCGCCAGACGTCGGCGCCGCCTCCGACCCGACCGACCCGCGGGTCGCAGCATCATTCGCCGAGCTGACCCGTGGGATTGCGGCGACCTGTGAGCGGCGGCAGAGCTCGGAGCGCGACATGGCAGCGCTGGTGCGGGCCCGCATCGCGCGGGTTGCGCTGGGGGGTGAAGCAGTGTGTGTGGATGCGGAGGGGGAGGGGGAGGGGGAGGGGGGAGCGCAGCAGGCGGGGCCTGGGGACGGTGTGGGGCCGGCGGCGGGGCCTGGGGACCTAGCAGAGGCCTCGAGGGCTGTGGCGCGCGGCTTGGCGGCGTGGTTGCGCCGCCAGGCGGGCTGCTGGACGCATGATGCGGCCAGGTCATCGCTGTCGCTGTCGCCGTCGCCGTCGCCGTCGCAGCAGCAGCAGCAGCAGCAATGCTTCCACTGCGCTGATGGATTGGAGAGCAACCTGCGCTTGAGGCAGTTGGCCGCCGGCGCGTTGCGGCTGGGGCTAATGGTGGCGGCGGCGCACCCACGGCTGCGTCTGACGGTGGTACGGCCCCCGGCAGCAGCGGCAGCGGGGGCTGGAGGCGGTGTCGGCGGTGGTGACGGCGTTCGGCGTCCGCTGTGGCGACGGTTGTGCGATGTTGACTTAAATGGCGACGGCGGCGGCGACGGCGTCTTTCTCGGTGGCGGCAGTGCTGATGTCGGCGCTGCTTATGGGTCGATGCTGTTTATGCCGCCGGGCATCGGCGGCGGCGGCGGCGGCGGGGGCAGCGGCGGCGGCGGCGGGGGCAGCAGGTTTGCAATCGTGCGGAAGCTGCACATCGGATCCCGGCGATGTGACGGCGATGGTGAAAACGGTGAAGGCGGCGGCAGTGTTGACAGCGACGGCGCCGACGGCGACGCCACCGAGTCGCTGGCTGACGGCGGCGGCGCAATCACAACCGATCATGGGTGTACTCCGGGGGCCAGTGTACGGCCAAACTCAGCAGCAACGGACGGCCAATGTGTCGGTCCAGTGTACGGCGTCTGTGGCACTCCTGCCTCTGCGGAAGCACGCCGAGATGACGCTTCTGTCGCCGTACAAACGCTCGTACGGCCTCCGACCGTTCGAGCCATGAAGCTGCCGTCCTCTCCGCGCCAGCAGCCTGAGCAGCCTCAGCAAATGCGGCTGCTCTTCCTATGCACGTCACAACCTGGTTTAACGTACGCTGACGGGTACGGCAAGATAAACCCCGACGCGGCTTTTCTGGTGCGCGAGGAAGTCCACGTGTGTGCGTGTGTGTGTGTGGACGAGCTGAGGTAGCTGGGGTTTGTGGGGGGGAGAGTGGACCGGCGTGTGTGTCGCATATCATAGGTGTGGAACGGGATGCAAGACGACATGAACACCTGGAAAAAAACCAGATTTGAAAACAAATACGGCAATTGGATGATCCTGTGCCATTTTGGATTCAGTACAACCAAAACAGCAACAGGATTTGGGAGTTTGTGGCCAGGTGGTTGGTGGTTACGTATGTGGGTTCACCTAACGGCGTCGGTTACCTGTTCCCCCGGTCCCATGTCGTCGTTCGCGCATGTTGGGGACTTTACCCGGGGGGGGGGGGAGGGGTCGAAGGGGCGGCGATGAGAGGGAAGGGGGGTGGGGGCATTTCCCGTCAGGTATATTCGTTATTACGTCTCACAAGGCAAAAGACGTCGTGGCTTTGCGCCCGTTCTTGTGGTGCGGTACTATGGCGGCAATGATGCTTTTGGATTTTACCGAATGAGCCGCAGCGTGTGTAGGTGGATGGATCCAATAGACATGGATCCGTTGTTGTTGTTGCGCTGGATTCAGGATCTCCTACTTGCTTCGCAATGTGTATGTGCGTTTCTTACGAGTACATTGCGGGAGGTGTGTGTGTATGTATGTACGTATGTTGGAGGAGGAAGAGAGTCCTCGAGGGACCGCTGGAGTGAAAGTACGGCAGTGGCAGTAGCCGCTGCAGCAGCAGTAGCCTGGGTAGCGTGGGAAGGGGCTTCGCGTGCGGGAGGAAACGTGGGTGTATTTGTTTGTTGGTACCACATGGCGGGAAAGGGGGAGGGTGGGTCATGATTGCTCCGTACCCGTCTCCTCCCCCCTCCCCCCTGGGGTGGAGACCTGCCGCCATCATGCGGAGGCAGAGAGCAATCGAACCTCTGTAGCAATTTACACAATTCACAGCAAAGTAGTAATAGTAGGAGTAAGTATTTCAGTGTTTGTTTCAGTCGTAAAAATTGCGACCTGTGGTGACCCTGGCACACAACCGGCAGAAACAACTTTTTAAGTTGATAAAAAAGCAACACCATGAAGATTTACAGTTTAATTTTGCTGCTGCTGCTGCTGCTGCAGCGTACTGCACTACTACGGTATCCGTACGGCGGCGGTATCATGTTTAAATCCCTCCCTCTGCTACAACTTGCTTGGCGCCAAAAATTGACACAAAATTTTCTCAATAGATACAACACTAAATGTCATGTCTGGAAAACAGGCATCATGGGAGGTGGAACAGGGCTCGGCAATAATACCGCTAGGGGTAAAAATTGAACACCGCTTCCCGTTTCCCTGGGTCCTTTTCCTAGCCGGTCAGTCGGTCGGTCCGTTCGATTGCTGTGTCTGGCCCCCTACCCTGCAGCCTCCCAACCTCCGAGCACGCGGCGCGTTCCCAAACACACTTGTTTTGAATTGCATCTCTACAACATTATGCCGGCACATTTCCCGAAGTAACAACACACACACGCACACACGCACACACGCACACACACACACACACACACACACACACACACACACACACACACACACACACACACACAAACCCCCCAAGGCGCAGACATCAGACAAGCAGCTACCCAGCCAACCACCTCTGCTGATTTTCAAATCGCGCTCTTGCCGCCATGCACATTGCGCTAACCAACCAGCCAAGGCGCAAGTCAAAAAGAAAGAAGTGCTAAGACACAGAGAGGGCGGTCAAGTATGTGTGTGTGTGTGTGGTGGGGGGGGAAGACGGGGGCCAGCTGCGGGTCATCTACCTAAGAACGGCCGACACACAGCACGAGCTGTCGACAGATTCGCGGCCCTAGTCGGTCGCCCGAGTGCTGAGTGGTTGGCCGGTATCGTTACAGCAGTGGGGAGAATGGGGGCCGGGGGGAGAGATAAAAAAACAAAAGCCTGCTGCTGCTGCTGCTGCTTCTCAACGCCAACAAAGACTTCCCCCACCTCACCTCAACTCACCTCACCACACCGCGTCCAGACCCTCTACTAAGCGAACCGCCCTTAGTCGCTGCAGGCGGTTTTCAAAAAGAAACCATATGGAAAACTGCTTTCGGAGCCAGCAACAAAGCAGCAACAAAGGAACACTCATCATCACATTAAACAGCGGTGTGATTGCTTCAACACCGCCAACTCCCAACCACCCCTCTTTTTCATTCAGCGTCCTATCAAGTGGTGGGAGAGGTGCTACGGGGGGACGGGTGCACGCTGCTGTGGTGGCGGTGAGGGAGGGGTGTAGGGAGTACGGCGCACACATACAGAGGAATGATGGAACTCTAGAGGCCACAAGGCCTCCGTACTTTCAAACCATGCCAAGCTACTTCTTGTTGCTAACTTGTTGTACCGTCATCTTGTTGATGGGGGGGTGTTACACTGGGGGGGGCGACGCGTCCCGAGGAAGGACCCGCACCGGGGGCCCTGACCGGGGCGAAACGCAGCGCAGTTTTGTTGTTGTTATTATTATTGTTATTATTGTTGTAGTACCAAATCGTACACTGAACAGTGGGCCCCCTTAACGATATGAACCCGGCCTCTCGACGCCCCCGGTCTGATTTCCCCCCCTTCCCCCCGCGTGTACGGCAGCGGCGAGCAACCCCACTTCAAAACCCTAAGCAGCCCACACGGACCCCGGGAGCCCCACCAGGGGGCTCGTTCCATCCACTCGCAGTGGCTGCAGTAGCAGTTACCCGAACTACAGTTTGTCCAACCGCCCTCCAACCGACTCGCAATCACGGGGGCCCAGGCCCCCGGGGGACGTGGGGAGGGGAGGGGGGGGTAGGGGGGGGCCAACCCCCACTCGCAACCCTATCCTTACACGGGGGCTTCCGCAGGGGAGCATACCTATATACATACATACTAACATACAACACATGACATACATCTATACATACATACCTCGTCCCATACAGAGACACACAAAGACACGCAACGGCTGTTGTGATGATGGAAGCACGCAGTGAGCAAAGAGAAGTCCTGCGGGGCTCCGAAGCATTTCTCGAACTGGTGATGTTACTGTTGTAGACGATGATGGTGGTGACGATGAACGTGATGAAGAAGAATATGATGACAATGATGATGATGATGGTCATGGTGATGATGATGATGATGATGATGATATGGCGGCAAGTGAGGTCATATCAAGCCGTGACCAGCATCCGCAGGGGCCCCCTAAGGCGGTCAGTGACAGCTCCTCCTCTCCCCGCCTTCACACATATGCACATACACACATACATACATACACACAGTCCTGACGCGCCCGGCACTGGCAGGCAGCTAGACCAAGCATATACGCACCCGCCCGCCAGGAAAGCAACACCCGCTTGGTGGCCGTGGGGGAGGCGGTGGTGGTGGTGGTGGTGGTGGTGGTGGTGAGCACTCAAGCATGTAGTGGGTATGTGTGGTGGTCACATCGACCCCTTACCCCCCAACGCGACATTCCCCCCTCGGGGCCTCGAGCAACCCAGATGCGATGAACACGGCGCATGTGTACGTATATGTAACCCCGGCGAAAGGTACGACAACTCCAGGGTTGGTGGTGATGGTGGTGTAGCACTCCATCTCCATTGCCACACAATCCAACCACCTCCAACTACCTCCAACTACCTTCAACACCCCACCCCACCGGCCGGGGCCTGTTTCGCGACACAGCCGCCCGTCTGTCCGTCTGTCTGTCTGTCCATCGTTGGTCCTGATTGCCGTCAGTGTTATATAATAATACTTATGTACTATCGGATCAGGTGTTTTAAAGACACTATAAAAAGGGATATTTCCCTAGGGAGTTGAACTTGAATTGTTCAAGGACGCCACACGTCTCGTGGGCACCGGATCGTCGAGGACACGTGGTACGACAAGAAAGGGGGCGGGAAGCAGGGGGGCTCTCGGAGCGGCAAATCTCCAGGTCGCCACACGCAGACTGGTGTGACAACACAACACAACACAACACAACAGAGCTCCTCAGCGCCCTCCTCCTCCCCGCCTGCTCCCCTCCCTCCCTCCCTCCCTCCCTCCCTTTGCGACTAATCTCCCCAACCCCGTTCCGGAATATTCTCCTCTTGGGGCCCCAACCCCTAGCCATGCAGCCGCCCCCCTCCCCCATCTCCTCACACCACAAAAGACCAGAGTCAGCATCATCGGTGCCGGAACAACGCTGCTCCTTAGGTACGGCAGCCCGATCAAACCAAGAACGACACCCCAACTCAGCCGTGCAGCCGACGCTCCCGCAAGGGGAGGGAAGGGGAACCCAGGGCCGTCACACTGGGCGAATAAGTACAGCAAGCGGCGCCAGCTCGTGAGCAAGCTGCGCCTTTACCAACGCCGCGCTACCGGCAAGCTCCGTCGCGTACGACACTGCCGTATGCTCGTCCGTCGCCGCCGCCAGCAGGCCGTACCACTCCAGTAAGCATTCGGCGGCGTTCAGCAAGGTGGGCGCCGCCGCCAGCAAGTCGCTACGTACGGATCCGCCGCCGCCGTCACCCTGATGATGCGCTGCTACATCCGCCGCCGCCGCCTCCCTGGCGCGCATGAGCAATCCCACGATGCCCGACAGACAGGCGCGGAAGTTAGCCAGCGCCGCACCGGACTCGGGCGCGGAACTGCTGCCGCCGCTCTGTACGGCAGCCCCCGCCAGCGCCCTCGCCGCCGCCAGCTGCGCCCGCGGCACCTGTTGCAGCAAATTCCACGCGCGCCCTAGCGTGGCTGCGGCGACGGCCATCGCCGCCGGCGCCGGGGGCTTCTCCGCCGCGGCCATGCCTTCGACAGCGGCGGCGATGCCACCACCACCACCACCACCACCGCCGCCGCCGCCACCCGGTGACGGTAAGTCCGCCTCCGTGTGCACATCATGAGCGCTGTAATAGTACGGCTTCCGCACGGGTCTGCCGTACGAATCCGAATGTACCTGATTACGGGGATTTACGGTTGGAGCCGTACGGCGTGCAGCTGGTGCTGCAGTTTCGACGGATGCGAAGCTGACGGCCTGACAGGGCGCAATCGCCGTCTGTACGTACGGCAACATTCCAAAGGACTGCCGGCCAGGCGATGGCGGCGGCGGCGGCGGCGGTTGTGTGAAGTACGGCCGGCGGTGTGGCGGCGCAGCGGCACCCACGGACCCCGCGGTGGCGGCTGAACCTGACAGCTGCCGTCGCTGCAGTTGCTGCTGCTGCTGCTGCTGCTGACGGTGTACGGGCAGCTGCTGCATTTGCAGTTGCAGTTGCTGCTGCGGCGGCGGCGATGCAAGTCGCTGTCCCCCGTGTGTTTCTTGCTGGTGCAGACGCCAGCCGGCTTCCAGGACTTCAATCGGGACGCCGGCGGCGTGGGCGGCTATCGCGGCGAACTCGTCCAGGGAGGGTCCGCCGACCTGCTCAAGCAGGAGAGTCAACCTCTGGTCGGCGGAGGTGAAGCAAGGGGCCGCGGCCCGCGGCGGCTGCGCCGCCGCCGCCATCGCTGCAGCAGCGGCGGCGGCGTCGCCGCCGCCGCCAGCGGAGTCGCGGGGCGACACGGATGAAGAGCGGCGGCGCTTGTACGGCGGCCGTGTCGTGCTGTCGCCACCTTCCACCATCGGTGCCCCGGCAGGAGCAGCAGCAGGGGTGGTGGCGACGGCGGAGCCGCCGCCGCTGCCCTGACGCGGCTGTACGGCGGCTGCCGTCGCAGGGGATATGCCGCCGCCTTCCGTATGTGCAGTCTCCGTCGCCTCGTCAGCAGCATCGTAGCCGACGTCGATAGACTGTCCCGCCGCCGCCGTCCTGCCGCGGCCCGGCGAGGCCGCCGTCCCCGCCGCCGCCGCCATCTCCACCACCTCCCCCAAGCCCAGCTCAATTGCGAGGTCCGTCCGAAGGGTGATGTGTAACAGACGCCTGCCGTTCATGCTGCGGCTGATTGGAACCTGTACGATAAAACACATTGTACGGCAACGGCACCGTAAAATAAATGCCGTGTAACAAACAATTTACCTCTGGTAATGGTTGCGCAGGAATGCTTTGCTTTCTGTGACAGTTGCTTAATTTAGACACAGCGCGACAACGATAGGTGTCCTTTTTAGGCTATCCTTCGTCTTTATGGATGTTGGCGATGCACAATCAAATTCGTACACTGAGGCTCGACAACCCCTCAATGACGGCGGTTCCATAGGATGCACAATGACACCACCACCATCATTATTGTCATCGCCACCAGTTTTCCCGAGTCAACTTGTACGGCATTCCTCGTACACAGTACATTTTCAAGTCAGAAGCCCCCCCTTACCTGCAACGCCGTACAACCATGTGAACCCGTAGGGCCCACGAAGCAGCCCATGCGCTCCTCCGGCGGTGCCGTCGCGTCAGTGGCGGCTGCTGCTGCTGCTGCCCCTGTCTCTCTTGCCGTACCTGCCGCCGCCACCCCCGCCGTACAATACACGATCACCACCTCCACGGGCGCGGCACCGCTTCGCTGAGGATGCGGAAGAGCCTGTTTGGCCGTACGGCGACCCGATCAGTATATACATACATCCGTACAAATACACGCGGAAATCTCAAGGGGTTTATGCACCGTCCCGGCTGCCGCGAAGGCGTTGAGAGATGCGGCCCCGGGGAGAAGAGATGTAGGAAGTGCTGTGCCCGGGATATAACAGAGCTGGCGCTACTGCTGCTACGACTGCTACTGTTACGACTGCTACTGCCTCTACTACGACTGCTACTGCTACAGGTGGCGACAGCGCGATGGGTGTGCGACGGCCCCCTGGCAGCAGCAGCTCGCGGGCCTACAACGTCTCCTAGTGCACATCACCACCCTCCCTCTCTCCCCCTCCTGCAGGATAAGACGGAACCACATAAGGTGCTAGGTCGGCTGGGGAAGGTGAGGCGGGGGGGAGGGGCGGTCCCCCCCCCGCGGGGCCGTGAGGGGGGTTGCGAACCTCGGGAGCTGTTCGGTCCGGAGCGACATGTTGACAGCTTTGGGGTCCATTGCATGGAAATAAAATACCAATTCCACGGGCGACGTCCGTACGTCCGTACGACACACACACGACATGCATTCCGTACCTTGACGACGTTCACGGGCAGCGGCAGATGCTTCTTGCTTCCCACTGCTCCCGTACAAGACCGCATCACCGTAGGCTTGCCGTTGGCGGGTCGTCGTACTACTATCGGCAGCGTCATCGCGGCGGAGCCGCGACGGCGGCCGCCACCAGCGGCAGCACCGCCGATGCCCGCCGCCGCCGTCGCCGTCGGCGTTAACGCTGCCGTCGGCGACGCCGCGCCGCCATTGCCGCCGCCGTCAAGTGCGACGTGGGTATCCTCAGACATATTGCTGCCGCTACCGCCGCCACCGGCAAAGGGCGCCGCTGCGTCCTTTGAGACTACTGCCGTACCGTCAGATGTACGAAGCGCAGCCATCTCACCCGCGCCGCCACGCCATGAGGCCCCAAAAAACGTCTCATCGTTCTCTTGTACGACACCAGGTCTCGGCGACGGCGACGAAGAGCTCACCTCTCTAGGGCTGCACGCGGCTTCACCGGCGGCGGCGGGGGGCCCGCCGCCGCCGCCGCCGCCGCCGCCGCCGCCCCGGAGCACCCCGACATCATCTTCACCCCCACCTTGAGAGCACGACTCCTCCTCCTCCTCCTCCTCCTCGTCCTCCTCCCCGGCCCCGCGCTTCTTACCGCCGCCGCCGCCGCCACCGCTGCCGCGGGATGGCCGAACGATGACGTCGCCGAGCTCTAGCTCCAGAACCATATCTTCACGCAGCGTGAAGCGCCGTACAGGTCTGCCGTACACTGCAGCCGGAACTGGCAGGTGCAGCGCGGGGAAACCGCCAGGGCCGTTGCCGATGTGGCACTCGATGTCACACCATTGCATCACTTCTGGAAGCAGCTCTTGTTGTTGTTGCTGCTGCTGCTGCTGCTGCTGCTGCTGCTGAGCCGCCTCCTCAACGGCCGTTAGGGGGCCTGGCGGAACGAGGGCTCGAACCAGGATGGGCTGCTCGCCAAAGCTTACGTCTTGGGAGAGAGCCTACACGCACAAATACAACATAGGTGCATTTGTATAAGTGTACAATGCCGTACATAGAATCTTTCGTCTAGATGTACAGCCGTCATACCGTACGACTTAGCAGGTCATCCAGTACGGCAGCGGGATCAGCTGCTACAAAGTTGCGACATAAGAGAGCAACAAGTACGAGAGGGCAACAAGTACGACAGCACGTACGACCGAGATCTGCGCTACGATGTCCTTTGAAAGGTTGTCCCCCAAAAATAAAAGAAGTGCTAGACTTCAAGTCTAGCCCCTAAGTCCAACTCTACCACCGTATTACATAAAAAAATACACATATACACACATACGCACATACACATATACATACACATATAAGCACATATACACACACATATATACATGTATACTGCCCGGCGCCCCCTCCCGCCGCTCCATTCCCCCAACCCCTTTCCAGCCATCCACCTGGTGCCGTACCTGTACGATTTCCGACGGCAGTACGAGGTGTTTCGTGTCCCCCAGCCTCCCCGACCTCGGCGCGAGCACCTTGGGGCACTTCCGGTCCGTGTGCAGCACTGTGAGGGGCAGCGCCAGGGAGGGGCCGCCACCGCCGCCGCCACCACCACCGCGGGCGGCGGAGGCGGAAGGGGGGGAAGCGGAGGAGACGGGAATAACGGAGGCGGAGGCGAGGCGTTGATCCGCGGCCTGCTGCTGCTGCTGCTGCTGCTGCGGTGGCTGGGGCGCCGGTGGCTGCTGCTGCTGCTTGCGTGTCGCCAACACCGGCGGTGGCGGCCCCCGTCGCCGCCCACCGCCACCGCCGCCGCGGCTGACGGTATCACGGCCGCGCTCCTCCGCCCCGCGGCCCCTCCTGGAGTGTCCGCTGTCCAGTGACGCCGACCCTCCCTCCGTCACCTCCGCCTCCGCCAATCGTTGACCTGACGGACCCCTTCCCCCCGCCGCCTGTTGCTCGTACTCTTGCTGCTGTTCGCCGTCCTGATCCAGAAGCTCCGCCGCGCGGCAAGCTATCTCCGCCAGCGCCTCTAGGTTCCAAAGCGCGCTAGCTCTTGGTTGGTCGTACTCCGCCTCCGCCGGTTGCGGCGGTAACGTCGCCGCCGCTGCCGCCCTCGCTGCGGCCTCCGCCGTCGCCACTATTTTCTGCTCCTGCATCTTACGCGACTCACACGCCGCCGCCACGTGCGCCTCCGCTGCCTCCGCCTCCGCCGGCTCCACCGCCAGCCCAGCTGCTTCCGCAACCGCCGCCGCCGCCGCCGCGGCCATTTGCCATTCGTACAGCTCCGGATCTTGCCGTACCGCTGGTGTGATGAAATCTGGAGCGTCATGAAACAACGCCAGACGGGGACGGAATCCGCTGTCGTCCCGGGGTAACGGCATGGCGGCGGCGGCGGCGGCGACGGCAGCCGCAGCGCGGGAAGGAGCGATGCGCCGTACGTCGTACGGGTCTTGTATCAGGCCTTCTTGATAGTTGCCGTACAAAAGATGGCTTGTGGGTCGCGGCTCGGCCGGATGACCGCTGCTGTCTTCCGGGCATGCCATTGTGTATGTGTCCACGTACGGCACTCTCCGAAGATACGACACCTCCCCGTCAGGGAGCTCTACCAGTCGCTGCAGCAGTACGCGTTGCCCGTACTGCGGCCGGCTCAGAGCTGACGGATGTGACGGTCCCGTGCCCAGTCCCAATCCGTCGGGGTCAATGGCCTGCTGGTACGATGTGGCGGTGGCGGCGGCGGCAGCGGTGGCGGTGGTGGTGAAGGGGGTGAGTCGGATGGGCTGATCCGCCGCGTCATACACATCGGACGCGTCATGTCTCTGGACGATGTGCGTACGGACGCCAGCCCCGCGCCGAGCAGCTGCCGGCGCCACCAGGCCGACGGCAGGATGGTGGTGGTGGTGGAGGTGGCGGTGCTCTGGCTGTTGCTCGGGACCCGCGTCCACGTCTGCGTCGCGAGGCGCGCCGAGGTACTGTTGTTGGCGTCCGAAGCCTTTAGCCCGAGCAGCATACATACGTGTAACCTCCGATGTATGTAAGACTTGTCGCTCGTCCATTACACCATCCGCGTCTTGGAAGATGTAATGGGGCTCTAAGGCGCCGGCGACCGGAATGAGCGGTCGCAGGACCAGCTTAGGCGCGGCGATGCTCGCGCGGGGCAGCCGTTCTGCGTGATGACCAGCCAGATCAGCTTCAGCTTCGACATGTCGGAATTTCCATGAATCTTCGTAAACGTGGCTTGCGATGTCTGCATCAAGCATTGTTGCCGATAGCGCAGTCGAGGCACGCAAGGGACACGGTCCAGAGGCCGGAGGACGAAGCACGCCTATTTGACGACTCATCACTTACACCCGTATTTTATCTGAGGCAAGAAGGAAAACGGGATCGTGAGAATTGTACAGTAACGTTTTACGGGCGCCGATGGGGGAAGGCTACTCCTGAACAGCCCGCATACGTCGTGATTCAATTCCCGGCTCAAACATCACAGGTAACAGGGCAGATAGCTGGCGCAAATATTTGCTGAAGTCGAAATGCCTTGCTAGAGACCCAGCCACCGTGCGCGCCCGAACCCAAACTAGCATGTCGAGTTATGCCGATTTACAAGCTTATAACCGATCATATTTTGTTTAACATGGGACAAGGAAGATGTGCGCAGACGTACCGTCCTGTAGAGCTGAAAACTCCGACGACGGCTTTGATACTACGCAAAAAAATGCTATTAGGATGACGTAAAACAAGTTATGATAAGTAGTAGTTCCACATTACATAGATTATGCGGGAAGTTGAGGAGCTTCCCCTGTCAGTCCTGCCAATCTTCAATGGTCTCAGTCCACCCAGCTAGTACCAAGGCGCCTAAAGGTTAGGCATGGTGATCCGTAGCTATCCTGTATTCTGCATAACTCCTTGGGATTTTTGCAGTTTAAAGCTGGTAATTGAAGAGCCGTTCGCAGTTTCCAAAACAGGGGACAGGTATCCGACTTCCCAAGCTCGAAACAACGTCGCAACGCATCGTGAGCGGACGAGTATAATAATTTAATACCAACATTTTATTTTTATCCAAGTCAAGAGCAAAATGTTACGTGGAATAAGTTTGAGGTAAACGTCGCTGTCACTAGGGTAAAAGTTTAGCGCTTGCGAGCACATTTCAAAGCCGTCGAGCACAATATAATAAAATGAAACCTTTGTTAACGGTGCTACCATCGGCGGAGACTATTGACGCCCGTAACGTATCCCGACGGCTGACATTTAACCTCACCTAGTTACGCTTAACTTCTCGTCATGCGACAACATTACCGTATGTTTTCCCCGGCTGCGGAAGATATAACACATCCGCAATTACTTGTATCACGTCAAGTATGAACGCTCGCTGCTTGTCTTCACCAAACACCGTAAACGGAGGCACGTGCACGAAGATGGCCTCCATGCCTAACCGTTCCGCCAATCCACATGCCCGATAATAAGCCCAATTGCAAACAAAGCGTCCCGCGTCCTCGGACACAACCACACTATGGCCCCGAGCCGCCAGCCGCTCGCAAACCCCCGCCAGTGGCAGCCGGGACCCGACCCACATCCCCAATCCCCGACCGGCCTCGATCTCTTCCATCACGGGCTGCCAGCCTGCCTCATCGGGGACCCGGAAATCGGCGCAGTTGTAGGCGCGCGACTCCAGTTGGTACCGCGTCGCTGTCGATGCGACTCCGAGGTGCAGCAACACTAGGCGCTGCCGATCAGGCTGAGGCGGTGCGGCAACGGCTGCGGCTGCAAGATGAGCTGCTGCTGCTGCTGCTGCTTCTGAGGACACGGCGGAGGCGGAGGCGGATGGAGAGATAGGAAAATTTGCAGTGGAGTCCTCGTTCGGGCCCGTGCCGGTACCATCCGCCGCAGCCTCTCGTAAGGCCCGTGCGGTTTCCTGAGGGCCCACGCTCAGCGCACCTAGAGACGGTATCGGGGCCCTCTCCAGCTCTTGAGCAAGCTGGATGAAGTAGGCATCTACGTGCTCGGCGGCCACCCTCAAGACTCGGAGGTCAGCAACCTGCGGTGGCGGAAAGTCGTACCGGTACAGCAATGGGGGGAAAGGTGTCAAGGCGGGCAACTCGCTGTGTAAAGAGGGCGGGCGGTCAGGATGCGAACGCTGTGAGCGGTATCACTTCATAAGGCTAAACGTGACAAGGCCTTTGTTGGTGCGCTTTGATGGGCGCCAAGACGACGATGGCCTTGCCCGTTTCTTCCTGTCCCATCCCGTAGAACAAATGAGTTACTGTGGCAGAGCGCATGTAAAGCATATTTCGAACTCCCGTTGAAAATAGGTCTAGGCAGTCCGCAAAGTTAACGATTCGTTGGTAGAAAGCGTCCTACTATCCGTGACCTGTACCTCAATCTCTTGTTGCATGTGTTGCAAGCCGCCGTCCCTGAGCTGTAATTGAAGCCATTTAATAAGTTGTTCAGTTGGATTCTCATCGACGCCATGGAAGGAAGAAAAGCCAGTTATGATAAACGTGACTCTGGCCATTCAGCTTTCCTCCAGAGCAATTTATTAACTGATGTTCACAATAAGCTTCCACTAGTTTTTATACCGATGCCACGAACAGGGCTAAAAACGATCAAGGCCGTAGGTGACCTCCGAAGCCTTTAATGAAAGGTTCTATGCTGCTTTATCGATTAGGTTTTTATTCCTGCAAAAACAGCGTGAAATGTTTGGTTCTCAAAGGCATTGTGACGTAACAGCATCGTTACAGGCAAACTGAGGCATTCACGAAGGTTTACAGTTAATCATTTACACATAATTGTTGGTCAACAGTTTGACTATTTAGAGTTGAAGGAAAGGCATTGAGAGTTCGGCCTCGTCGTTGCCCATTGCGAACGGCGAAAGTAGGCATCACAAATGCTTGACAGTTGCACATATGTTCGTCTTCCTTTTAAAGTGTTGGAATAGAATTTGTAAGCCCATCTCGCTTCATGTAAGCAGGGCTGAGAAACGCGGCGCGAGTAAGACCTTTGGCGATAGCATATTTTTACAAAGATCTGCAATTTGGCATTCACTCCAGAGTACTGAGAGTACTGATAACTCTTTCGCACAAGCAGTCTAGCAAAATGCTAGTTGGGTATCAGTCGGTGATGACGGAACTTCCCGTCCTAAGTCGCCCAGCAAATTTAAACCGTATAGCTTTCGATAGAGGAAAAGCTAAGGCTCATTTGGACCATCACTTTGCCTCATGTTCCTGCGCTTACCTTTCTCTCCCGTCTGCACGCTTCATCTGCGTAGATAAAGAGGACATGGAAGAACAAATAAACAGAGCACAAGTGAGATTACCAGGGATTATAGTATCAGGCTCTTAACTACCTCCTCAGCTCACACCTTGGCGGGGGGAGGAAAACTTCGTAACTCTTCGTACTATCGTGTCCTATACCGGCAGCCGCTACGTTAGGATGCGCGTGTCTTTTGGCCTTCCCCCACCATTGCAGCCAGCTAGAGAGTATTTGTGACAACGTTGAGCAAAAGGTAATCTACGGTCCTAGTATTACGGGTCCTCCTGATGACACCCTCTCCTGCCTGGAAGGGGTCCGCGGCCGCGTGTAACGTGTTGAATGCTCAGGTGTTGATAATCTTCGTCGCATTCCTATATCAAAATGAAAATTTTCTAGAATTCGCAATTGTTGCGCAAGACCGGCTAAGCAACACCTGAGCTGCGACACTACGTCCGTATGGTGGTTGTACGGCGGCAGGTGCGATGGTATCGGCACAAAATGATATCAGTTTCTGATTTCTCGCTATGTGCCCTTTAAAGACATTGCATGGTACTTCTCGAATCTGCTCTGGATAGAACATCTATGCAATCCGGAAGAAACTGCGCGCTCTGGAACCCAACTGTAGACTGGAGCTTACCATTGTTCACCTGTATCCTTCTTTTCATATAGTTTACGTACTCTTTCTCTATCCGGTCAATTTGCACGGCAGCGCTGATCATGCTGCAAAGCACATCGTTTCCACACGCCAAGTGGCAACAATGCAGTGCTACAAGCACTTTAACCAGGGGCGTAACAGCGTATCGAAGCATTCCATATCTTTACAGAACGCCATGCAGCGGCTGGGGCTGTATTAGAAGCTTTCAACGCGAACATTCCCGCCGATGCCCGCCGCGACTTGGACTCTCGACCGGGCAGATGGGTGGCAATTTGCCGCAAGACTGGACACAGGTGTGGAGCGCTTGCTCCGCTGCGGCACTTCAAACCGACAATCATCATTACCTGCTAGGGATTCCCCCGGGACTTCCTAAAAACCCCCTCCTCCCCGGCCCTCATATAACCTCCTCCCCGGCCCCTCCGTATCCATTTGCACCTCAGGTGCTGTCCTGGTGCAGGAACGAGTTCCGGCGTTGCGTGGACCCCGATCTGCCGGACAGCGCCGTACACCTGGCCAAGTGCTGTCTGCTTGTGGCCCTTGAGGAGGAGGCGGCTCGCAGCGGAGAGGCGCCCCACCCCGAGCTGGCTGAGCTCGTGGCGGCGAGCAGCGCGACGTGGAGGTGCGAGGGGCCCTCTGCTGCTCTCTGGTGGGAGCGGCGAGAGGAGGGAGGAGGGAGGAGGGACGGTGGCGCGAAAAGAAGCTCCTCCTCAACACTGAGAGGGGAGTTGGGGAGGGGTGGGGAAGGAAGGGGAGGGAAGAAGAACCACGTGAACGAGTGAACCTGATGCCAAGGAGGATATAGACTCTGATACGCCAGCAGAAGTAGGTAACTAGAAGTAACTAACCAGTCACCGCGAGCTATGAAGGAGGAGTCTTCGCGGCGATGTAGGTGAGGGAAGGGGTGCTTAGGGTGCTGAGCTCGATCTGAGAGGTACTGAGGGGAATCGGGGAGTGGTGGTACGGCAGTACGCACGGACTTGTAGTTTCGCTGCCGTCTCCCAGCCTAACGCCACTCCTTGACCGTCGCCCGTGCCGTACATCACAAGGCCCCGGAGCGCCGCCAGCGCCAGCACCTGGAGCGGGGAGCGGCTGGAGGCGCTGGCGGCGGAGGTGGCGGCGCTGCTAGACCAGCAACTTGATGAGCGGGCACAGTGTCGTACAGTGGCAACAACGGCGGTGCAAGCGGAAGGTGTTGAGGGCGCTGGCGTGGTCGCAGCAATGGCGCCGGGTGCAGCGGAATCGGAGACGTCGGGCAGCAGTAGCAGCAGCAGCTGTGATACCGCCGCAGCGGCCGCAGCGGCAGCGGCGGAGTTACGTCCTGAAAGCTCCGTGCCTTCGAACAGTAGCTCCGAAACCATGGAGATATTGGGGTCCCGTGGCGTGGCTAGCTCCGAAACCGCAACTTCCACAAGCAGCTTTAACTTTGCTGCCGAACAGGAGGAGCTTCTGGACCGAATCCACACAAGCAAGCCCGGAGCCGTCGGCAGCAGCACTCATGGCAGCAGCAGTAGCAGCAGCAACAGCCACTGCGTGTCAGCCGCCGCAAGTGGCAGTAGTAGCAGTAGCAGTAGCGGCGGCGGCGGCGGCGGAGCAAGTGAAGACAGGTACTACGGCTCTGCATGGCCCAGCGTACGGCGGGTGTACGGCAGACGGCAGGCGCTGTACAGGCGGTATCCCGTGCAAACATTGGCGGCGGTCAACACGGTTCTGTTTGACCGACACGGGTACATGCCGTGCAATCGGTACGGCGTTCCCAGGTGGGCAGATGACAGATGAGCCGTGGCTAGCTACTGCCGCTGTTTTCCGTCGAAGTTGCTCTGCTCTGTACGGCATCTTAAGGTTTTTCTCCTGCTACTGCTGATGCTTTTGCGGCGTCCACTTAATCCACTTTGTTCATTCCATGTTGCTGCTGCTGTTTCCCAAACCCCCCGATCAGATTTCTTCCATTCCCCGCTGCTCGCCCTTACCTGTCCTGTACGAGAAGCACGCGTGCGCGCGCGTGTGTGTGTATGTGTCTGTGTGTACTTCAGTGGTCTCTCCCCTGGCATGGGCCCCCCCTCCCCCCTCCCCCCCCCAGCGACCACCAGCTCTCCAGTGTGCTGGAGAGGGGAGTGGGCGCCAGCGCCGCACTGTCAATACTGTATCTGGAGGTGGGTGGGTGGGTGGGTGGGTGGGGCCAACGGAATAACCCCCTGGCATCGCCTTGCCCTTGCAACTCCCAACTGAATAAACCGCTGCCGCCACCAACCGGCATTGACAGGTGTGTGACCGGCTGGGCTTTCCACTGGCCGCCAGGCCCCTGGAGGATGGCAGGTGTGTATGTGTATGGGGTGGGGGAGGGGGGAGGGGGGAAGGGGGGGGAAAAG